CTTGGGGACAACATAGGAGGGGTGGTTTGAACAAGGCCTGCTGGTGGAGATTTCCATTTCAGGGTGCAGTTACTTCCTTTCCCAGTGGGGTTATCTGGTTGTTAGCGCCTGCGCCGTGGGGGAGAGATGGCAGTGTAGTTCACTAGAGCCACCCCAGGAAGGTCATGTAGCAGTTAAGCCTTCAATATCTGCAAGGAAGCAGGCCTTTAGGAGGGAGATAAAGTCAGCTACCTCTGCGTTTTGTCCACAGCTTTCTGTCTGTTGTGTCCATCCAAGTCCCCCATAGGAATCTCACCATAAATTAATGACCATTGTGTGGGAGGAAGATACTTTCTTCTACTTTCAAGGTTCTCTCAGCTGGCCTAATCAGAAAGAGGGGATATGTATGGGAGCTGCACACACATGACAGAGTCAGAGACCCCACATGAAAGAGAGGTTCAGAGATTGAAAATGAAATTTAGCATATAAGACATTCTGAGCCTGGGATGAGGTAATGCACCTTGGGACTTTAGAATATTGCTGCCAGGAAATCACATGTTCAGGAAATACTAGTTTCCTTACCATCTAGGTAGTTCAAATGTCATTTTTGGTTTAACTTATATCACAGGTCAGGCTCATCATTTAAATTCTAGGTAGTTCAGGGGGAGAGGAGAAGTTTCTCTTGAACCCAAAGGTCTTGATGCCTTCAGCTCAACGTAATGCATGTACCATTGAAGCACATCTTAGGGTGCCTTGTTCTGAACCCCTATCTTCAACTTTTCAAAACATTTTCTTTGCCACAGTTCAACATGGGAAGGCATTGATATCTGAGTTCCCTATTGAGATGGTGTTTGCAGAAGGGACATGCAGGTTTTAGATTTCGTATGGCTGCAACATCTGCTCTGCAGAACAGGATGGAGACAAAGCACCTTTAACCAGGATGGCCTTAGTGGCCAGGATTAGATCAGAAAGTTCTGAAAAAGAAAACTCGTTAGCAGTGACTTGCTCTCTACATTGGCATGGAAGTCTTACTTTTTAAATGCACTGTGAGATTTATAACGTACAGGAGGTATTTGTGGAATGAATTTTGTATGAAATTGGTGTTAGTGATGATGTGTCCTTCTGTCACCTGATAGCACTTACTTTGCACCTGTTTTTCATTTGGTACAGGTGTTTTCTGCCCAATTCCTGAACTATAGAGTTAAATTTTTTTTTTAAATAAGGGTGTCAAAAGTTTTTTGAGATTTATGCATAAACAATCACATTTCTTCTGGAAACTTTGATTGCTTTTCAGTTTCGCTTTATTTGTAGGTTGCTTTGTTGTTGTTGTTCACTGCAGATCCTTGCTTTGCCCCAGGCCTGTAAATTTTTATTGTATTTCACCGACTTATCACAGATACACTCATTTATCAGTGCTTTGTATTTTCAAAAATGTTTACAAGCATCATAGTAATGGATGTTCAAGTGTGTTAAAATTATAAAATACAGATCAGCACCAAAGATAAATTTTATCAAAAAAATAAAAGGCTAAGAAATAATAGTACTAATATTTTTTATCATGGTGTGTTTACCTCCCTTTTGTGTTTATAAAATACAAAGACAGTCATTCACAGAGAGATTTGTGACATTGATACATTGACATTAATGTTGATTTTATTGCAGGGTAAATTTATTGACATGAACATTTTATTTTGTGTCACATTTAATTTGTACATAGTTTCCATTTTTATGTCTGCCTCTTTGCAGAAAATGTTAACATTATTTGACCTCTTCTTATTTCTTACCTTCTTATTTCTATTCTTTACAGTTACAACAGCTGTGTATATTCATGAGGGTTGTGTCTGTGTACTGGCCTGTGGTCTTTTTGTCAAATTCGAGGTAAAGTTTGGAATAACACCCAGGCTCTACCGTTTGATGGATCTTTTACAAAATATTTTCATAAAAAAGGATGAATAGTCATGGCTCACTTGGTTGAGCGTTGACCCATGCACTGAGAAATCACTGGTTCAATTCCCTGTTAGGGCACATGCCCAGGTTCAGTGCTCAATCCTTGGTAGTGGGTGTGCAGGAGTCCACTCATTAGTGTTTCTATCCCATCGACATTTCTGTTTCTTTGTCCTTCCCCTTTTCTCTCTCTCTAAAAATCAATAAAAACATTTAAAAAAATGAACAATAATGTTATTGTTCTTTGAATACTTTTGAGATTTATTAATTATCCTATCTAATAATAGACAAACATGGTAATTAACCATACCTCCAACATGCTTCCCATTGGCTAATCAGGGCGATATGCAAATTAACTGCCAACCAAGATGGCAGCCAGACAGCTGAAGCAAACAGGAGGCTTGCTTGCTCCAGTGATGGAGGAAGCCAAGGTTCCCCGCCTGCTGCTGCCAGCCTCTGAGCTGCACTCTACGCAACAATGTTGCAATTATAGAAGCTAAACAAACCCCAGAAACCTGCTTTCAGCCAGCCGGGCCTCAGAGCTGGAGCCGAGCCTCAGATCTAAAACCGGCTCTCAGCTCCTTGACAGCCATAGAAGGTAAATAAATCCCAGAATAAAAAATAAAAAAAAGAAAGGAGAGGTTGGGAGCTTCAGTCACCCGCCAGCCTGAAAATGGCCCTCAGCCCCTCACCCAGACTGGCCAGGCACCCCAGTGGGGTCCCCCACCCTGAAGGGGGTGTGACCAGCTGCAAACAGCCATCATCCCCTCATCCAGGCTAGCCAGGCACCCAAGTGGGACCCACACCCTATCTGGGACACCCTTCAGGGCAAACCAGCCGGCCCCCACCCGTGCACCAGGCCTCTATCCTATATATAAAAGGGTAATATGCAAACTGACCCTAACAGCAGAACGACTAGGAATGACTGGTCACTATGACACACACTGACCACCAGGGGCAGATGCTCAATGCAGGAGCTGCCCTCTGGTGGTCAGGGCGCTCTCACATGGGAGGAGCTCTGCTCAGCCACAAGCCAGGCTGATGGCTGCCAGCACAGCGGTGGTGGTGGGAGCCTCTCCTGCCTCCTCAACAGCACTAAGGATGTCTGACTGCAGTTTAGGCCTGCTCCCCGCTGGCAAGTGGACATCCCCCGAGGGCTGCCGGGCTGCCAGAGGGATGTCTGATTGCCATCTTAGGCCCAATCCCCCGGGAAGCAGGCCTAAGCCAGCAGGTGGTCATCCCCCGAAGGCCCCAGACTGGGAGAGGGCACAGGTCGGGCTGAGGGACCCCCCCACTCCCCCGAGTGCACAAATTTTTGTGCACCGGGCCTCTAGTTAATATATAAATAACTGTTAAAACAACTGTGGTTGATAGGCATACTATTCTATGACACCTGTAAATTCCATAAAATTGTTCAGTGAAAATCTTGTATATGAATTTTTTTCCTGTGTTTTCTTCTGTAGTATCCAAAGTTACGGCACATGTACCAGCACATTGGTATCCATAGTTATTTTTTTTAAAAAATATATTTTATTGATTTTTTACAGAGAGGAAGGGAGAGAGATAGAGAGTTAGAAACATCGATGAGAGAGAGACATCGATCAGCTGCCTCCTGCACATCTCCTACTGGGGATGTGCCTGCAACCCAGGCACATGCCCTCGACCGGAATCGAACCTGGGACCCTTCAGTCCGCAGGCCGGCGCTCTATCCACTGAGCCAAACCGGTTCCGGCCTTCTAATTTTTTTTTTTTTTTTTTTTATGGTATCCATAGTTATAAGTGAGCTGGTTAAACATATAGAAATTCAGCCCCCCCCAGAACTCATTAAAATTTTAAAAGTACTACACTGTGCTCACTCAGAATGACTTCTCCAGCTAAGAAATATGTACAGTTGATCCTCTATGATTCAAACATAGCACTAAAAAATGGATATGCTTGTGTTGATGCCTGTATTTTTAAAATTTATCTTTCAGAAAAGTAAAACTTCTCCTGTTGTTTTGTGGATCATATGCCATCTTCCTTTCTAAAAATACATTAGAGTATTTTATTGTCAAAGTGATGCTGTTGGATAACTCAGGATACTGTCCTAAGTCTAAACCGGTTTTATTAACTTTTCATTTTGGGTGGCTTTATGACCTCTTCCCATGGTCAATTGATTAATGCTTTTCTTTTAATTTTCTTTTAATTTCAGGGTCAGTTGACCTTCAGTGATGTGGCCATAGAATTCTCTCAGGAGGAGTGGGCGTGCCTGGACCCAGCTCAGCAGAAACTGTACATGGACGTGATGTTGCAGAACTACAGGAACCTGGTATTCCTGGGTGAGGACCACTTCCTTCCAGAATTTCTCCTCCACCCGCAGGGTGTTGTTTTCTTCATTAGCACAGTGTCTGCTTGTAGCTTCTGCTTTTTATGATAGAGTTTCAGATCCGTGTTATTAAGGAAAGCAATTGGGGTTTTGCTGGTGCAGAACAAAAAGGCTTCCTGATGTATTTGGAAGTGGAACTCAAGATTTGAAAACTTTAAATGTTGTCTCCAGTATAATTAAAGGTTCTGTCAGAAAATAATATTTTGGAAAATAATTTTTTAGGATATTCTGATATTCTACAACGTCCTCTCTTCTTACTTGAGCACAGAGCTGGATTGGAAACTGGAGATTCTCCATTGAACCCATGTTCCTTTTTTTTGTAAGTTTTTGGTTGTTGTTGTTTTTAATATATTTTTATTTTATTTCAGAGAGGGAGAGGGAGAGAGAGGTAGAAATATCAATGATGAGAGAGAATCATTGATTGGCTGCCTCTTGCACATCCTTTACTGGGGATCAAGCCTGCATCCCAGGCATGTGCACTTGACCGGAATCAAACTAGGGACCCTTCAGTCCACAGGATGAGACTCTTCACAATGAGCCAAACTGGCTATGGCCCATGTTCCTTTTTCTAATGAACAGGTGTGTCTAAGCCAGACCTACTCACCTTTTTGGAGCACATGAAGGAGCCCTGGGAGTTGAAGAGAAAAAAGACAATACCCATCCAGCCAGGTAGGTGGGAATCAAGGAAACAGATGATCCAGGTGAGAGGCCGAAGATTGGATATTATATAATGGTTTGGAAACATCTGCTTCAATGGAACTAATTTTTGAGAGGGTCACGTTTATTTCTGTTTCTGTCTTCGAGGGACAGATCCTCTCCAACACTTACTCTCCAACATCATCTAAGGATTCTCTTTCTGCTTCCATCACATTTGCAGTGAGATCCAAAGTCTTCCTGTAACAGTGTAAGGGTGGCATGACCTGGCTACTATTGGATTTCTTGGTGAACCTGGGGAAGTCTGTGCACGTTGCTGATGAATTTTAAGTTAAACTAGTTTTAAAGTTCTGTTTTCTGCCCCATGTAAGTAATTTGGGAGGGAAGTGGTTGAGATACTGGAATTTGGTTCCCACATCCCAGGAACACTGTGGGTAGGTGTCCAAGTTGTCTTATTCTTCCTTTTGCTTGATGAATTCTGTTTCTGATGTTTCTATTGTATATTTCAATTCAGGTACTAACTATATTCTTCAGCTCCCTATATCTGTTTGGTTCTTTCTTATACTTTCTGTCTGCTTGCATTTTTATTATTGTCATGCCTAATTTTGATGACAATAATTAGTTCTGTATGTTTTTCCAATTGAGCCCTTTTAAGGTGTTTTTTTTTTTTTCATATCTTTGTCAGGTAATTAACATGTTCATTAACTTAGGGCCAACTTATGGAGATTTATTTTGTTCCTCTGGTTGGATTGTTTTTCTGTTTCTTCATTTCTGTTTCTTGTGATCTTTTGTTGCTATCCCATTCTTTATAAACTTGCTTTGTATAGGAGAACAAAAATAACTATCAGCTGTGGTAGGTTTTTAAAGGCCTGTCACACCTATTCTGGAAAGTGTAATTGGTGTGTGTGTGTGTGTGTGTGTTTAACTCATTTTTAAAAATTTTCAATTGTAGTTGCCAATATAATATTAGTTTCAGGTGTACGCCCCAATAATTAGACATTACATAGTTTCCGTGCTGGGGCCACTTAGCCAGAGTTATGGGGGGTACACTGGGGCCAGATCCTGCTTGTTTGCGAAATTGTTGTAAAGACTGAAGCATAAGCCAATTTAGGCTGTTTGTATGGAAAAGCCACTGGAAACAGCTTTGGTGGTCCCTCATGTTGATGGGGTGAAGTGTCAGGAAATCTTCAGGGTGTGGTGAAAAGTGTGAGCAAAATTGATGGAGACTCAGCTGTGGCTCCTGTTTGCCAGCTATGTGGGTGAAAGGCTCAGAAAAGGAACAATGGCTTCTAGCAAGACTTATGCCTGGGAGAAAGCTCCTTCTACAGCTCTCATCCTTCAGGTCCAACCTGTATGTCCCTGGTGCCATTCAAGCTGCTGCCACAGCACTGAAGCTCACAGGGCATGAATCTGAATAAGTCAGAGCATGAGCCCTTTCAGAGGAATTGCCTAGGATTCCATCAGCTCTCCGTCTCACTCAACCACAATCCTTGCTAGTTTTTACAGCCAGAGTAATGGGAACATCTCTTCTTGGCATTGGAACCCCGGGGCTGGGGGGCCTTCTGTGGGGCTGTGACCCTTCACTCCTCAGATGCGACCTCTGAAGCCGATATGTCACTGGTGATTTTTATCCACCATGTGGGCCCAGTCCATTCTATGACGTTGCACCTCCTACCAGTCTGGATAAGCCTTCTTTATGTCTTTTGTTTTACAACTTCATTCAGTTAGGTTTCAGTCAGTTCTGAAAAATGGTTTTCCTGTAGTTCAGTTGTATTTTTTTTATGTGGTTGTGGGAGGTTGCCAGTGCCACAGTTACCTACACCTCCATCTTGACCAGAAGCCTGCGTGTGTGAGTTTTGTGTAACTTTCCAGTTTAAAACATATTTTGCTTTTATTTAGAGCCATGATATTTTCCCATTCCTGTGTCAGAAAGAGTGAGCAGGTATTGTGGGCAAATGTAGGTAACTTGTTTCCCTCTTTGATATGACTTTTTTATTTTGTGCTTTCTGATGCATATTGTGATCTTTGAACTGACTTCTGAAGTACTTTAGAAGGTAATTGGGTCAGTAATTGTTGGTAAGTTAACATCTCCATGGAGGAAAAAAGTTTTTGTGCTTCCTGTTCTTCTATCTCACTGAAATCTTCTTACGGGTATTAATTCTGTACATTAAAATTTAAAGAATATTTAGTTGAGCGTATTTTCTAATTAATTTGTTATATTTCAGCTATATCTTCTCAAGTCACCCAAGGTTTCTTCTCAAAGTCAGGTGTAGAAGTGTCATTCCAGAAAATGTTACAGGTAAGATATGGCATTGAGAATTTACACTGAATGAAAATTTTGTAATGTGCAGGGGAATATGAAGAGAAAAAATCTTGTCAGTCATGATCTTGCCCCAAAGTGGGGCAATTACCCTGTACTTGACAACAGTTACATTGGCAGAACAATGTGTTTCTGAACAAAAAAATAAACAAAAAAAATTCAAAAGTATATATTCTCTGCTCTGGCTGCTGTGACTCAGTTGGTTGAAGTATCACCCTGAAATGTTGTGGGTTCAATGCTGGTTGGGACACATGTAGATTTAGGTTTCAATCTCTGGTCCTGGTGTAGGCAGGAGGCAATTGATCGATCTTTCCCTCTCATCAATTTTTTTTATCTCTCTCCCTCCCCCCTTTTCTGTCTCTAAAAATCAATAAACATGTCCTCATGTGAAAATTAAAATAAATAAATGAATATATATTCTCTGAAGTAAAATTTCTAATATTAGAAAAGTCACCTAGTCCATTGTGCAAATAATTTTTGAATGATTTAATGTAGCATTTGATTAAACAGTCAAATATTTCTACAAATGAGATATTTTAAAAATGAAGGTATAAAGAGATCAACCAAAGGACTTGTATGCATGCATATAAGCCTAACCAATGGACACAAGACACTGGGGGGTAGGGGTGGCCAGGGGAAGGTCAAGGGGGAAAAAAAAAAGAAGATATATATACTACTCTTTGTAATATTTTAAGCAATAAAACAAAATTTTTTAAAAAATGAAGGTACAAGTTATAAATGAATTTGTAAATCCCTTAACCAATTTTGTATTATTGTTTCATGGGAAAATAGTTCTTTTTCCAGAGTTTATAATTTTCATAAATGTGGGAGGATATATATACAACCATCATAGTATCAAAATAGGTAATTGAGAACAATTGTAAATGTGTAATGATATTAGAGCCCTCACTAAAAGTTTTTCTCTCTTAAATTATTATCAGAGTACATATAATGAAGAGCGAAGTCACCAATGCAATGAATCTCAGAAAAACTTTAACCAAGGGTCAAATTCTAACAACCATCAAAGAGCCCAGCTTCCACAGAAAAAGTATAAAAGGCCTAAAGTCTTTGAAAAAAGTTCAAACATTTTTATACCTCAGAGTATTCATACTGTAGAGAAGACAGAAAGTTTTAGTGAATGTGCCAAGTCTTCCAACCAATCATCAAATCTTACTGAACATAAAAGTCCTCATATTGAGGAGGAGTCTCTCCCGTGTAATCACTACGTGAAAGTGTTTAGTCAGTCTTCTAAGTTAAATATACATAAGGAAATCCATACTGCAGAGAAGCCTTACAAATGCAAAGAATGTGATAAAGCCTTTAAGTGGCAGGCAAATGTTATTTTGCATCAGAGAATTCATACTGGAGAGAAGCCTTATAAATGTAGAGAATGTGGCAAAGCTTTTATCCAGAGTTCATATCTTACTCGACATCAAATAATTCATTCTGGAGAGAAGCCTTATAAATGTACTGAATGTGGCAAAGCTTTTAGCCACTGTTCAAACCTTAGCCATCATCAGAGAATTCATACTGGACTAAAGCCTTATAAATGTAGAGAATGTGGTAAAACCTTTATTCGGAGCTCAAGTCTTACTCGGCATCAGATTATTCATTCTGGAGAGAAGCCTTATAAATGCAGAGAATGTGGCAAAACTTTTATCCAGAACTCACATCTTACTCGACATCAGATAATTCATTCTGGAGAGAAGCCTTATAAATGTACTGAATGTGGCAAAGCTTTTAGCCACTGTTCAAACCTTACCGAACATCAGAGAATTCATACTGGAGAGAAGCCTTATAAATGTAGAGAATGTGGTAAAACCTTTATCCGGAGGTCAAATCTTACTCAACATCAGAAAATTCATTCTGGAGAGAAGCCTTATACATGTAGAGAATGTGGCAAAGCCTTTAACCAGGGCTCACAACTTGCTAAACATCAGAAAATTCATTCTGGAGAGAAGCCATATACATGTGAAGAATGTGGCAAAGCCTTTACCCGGGGCTCACATCTTACTCAACATCAGAATATTCATTCTGGAGAGAAACCCTATAAATGTACAGAATGTGGCAAAGTCTTTAACTGGTATTCAGCCTTTTCCAAACATCAGAGAAATCACTCAGGACACAAACCCTTATAAATGTGCAGATGTCAAAATGCCTTCACATCATATTTAAACATTTATAGTATCAGAGGACTCAACTAGAGAGAAGCCTTAGAAACACAGAATGTGGCAAAGCCTTTACCCACTGCTCAAATCTTACCAAATATATGAGAATGCATACCTGAGAGAAGCTTTACAAATGTGAAGAGTATGACAAAGCCTTTAATGTCGCTATTGCTGTACTCAATATTGGGAAATTTATAGCAAATAGAAGCTGTATAATAAAAGCCTAAGCAACCCTTACAGCAGAACAACCAGAATGACTGGATTCTATGATGTTCACTGACCACCAGGGGGCCGATGCTCAACACAGGAGCTGCCCCTTGGTGGTCAGTGCGCTCCCACAGGGGGAGCTCTGCTCAGCCAGAAGTCGGGCTCATGGCTGACGAGAACAGTGGCAGTGGCGGGAACCTCTCCTGCCTCTGTGGCAGTGCTAAGGAGCAGCGAGCGAAGTGGTAAGGAGCAGCGAGCAGGCAGGTGGTAAGCTGCAAGGGTTCCCAGACTGCAAGAGGGATGTCCTGCTGTTGGCTTAGGCCTGTTCCCCACAGGGAGCGGGCCTAACCCAGCAGGTGGACATCCCCGGAGGGGTCCTGGACTGTGAGAGGGCACTGGCTGGGCTTAGGGGACCCCCCCCCCCACTCCAGTGCACAAATTCTGTGCACTGGGCCACTAGTATAAATATAAAGAATATGGAAAAACTTCCAACCATTGCCCAAACCTCACTGAATATCATACTAGAGAGAAACCTTACAATGGAGAGAATTTGATAACACCTTTACCCAGTGTTGAAACCTTAATCAGTATCACATAATTTATGCTTTACTGAAAGAATTCAAATATAAACAATCTGGCAAAACCTTTAACTATTGCTCAAGCTCCAATGTACTTTAGAGCAATCGTTGCCAAGCTTTCAGACCTCATGGACCACCAGTGGTCTGCAGACCACCAGTTGGCGACCACTGCTGCAAAGGTTTCCTTAAACCAGCGGTCACCAACCTTTCAGTCCTCATGAACCACCAGTGGTCTGTGGACCACCGGTTCGCGACGGTTGCTTTAAAAATTTATAGTGGAGAGACGCCATACAAATATAAATGTTCAGTAGATTGTTTTCAGCATTTACTGGTACATCTTGACTGCCATGTGAGTATTTTTACTGGAGAAAAACTTAAAATGTTAAATAATATGCAAACCCTATACATGGACCTACAATCTTTCTGCATATCAGAGAATGCATACTCGTGAGAAATTCTACTTTTGTAATAAATTATAAAAAATCTTTCCTCAAAATACATACAGTGGGGCCTTGACTTATGAGTGTTCCGACTAACAAGTTTTTTGAGATACCAGCTGTCTCTCGGCCGATTTTTTGCATTGAGTTGATAATTTGAGTTAACTAGCTCCTTAACAAGCTCCTTAACCAGCTGAGTCTCAGAAAGAATTAAACTCATAAGTCAAGGCCCCACTGTATTTCAGAAAACCCCACAGCATTTGTACTTGAAAGTAGTAAGTCAGTAACACTTTTCAAATATGAGTTTAAATCAGAATACTTATTTTAAAGAATCTAGTAAGGAAAGTTACATGATTTTTTAGTATAAATCAAAATACCGCCCTAACTGGTTTGGCTCAGTGGATAGAGCGCCAGCCTGTGGACTCAAGGGTCCCAGGTTTGATTCCGGTCAAGGGCATGTACCTTGGTTATGGGCACATTCCCAGTAGGGAGCGTGCAGAAGGCAGCTGATTGATGTTTCTCTCGCATCCATCTTTCTAACTCACTATCCCTCTCCCTTCCTCTCTGTAAAAAATCAATAAAATTTATTAAAATAAAAATAAATCAAAATACCAAGGGGATGAATATAGGACAAATGTAATTGTCTCCACTGAATCCTATTTTAATGGCAACAGTAATTTGTGGCTTTTTTAAACAAAAGTATTCTTGTGATTTCTCTCTCAATTCATTTCATGATCTTTGAATGCTTGTAATGTCTATTTCAACCCAAGACAATACATGTGCTTTGAAATACTTTGTTTAGACTATGTGTGGACTTAATATGTTCATTAATAAAGATGAAGTAATTGAAATATGTTAACAGTGATGTGTAATGAATGAGGTGTTGACATGCCATCAGTCTTAATGTTTCCCACCTTATTCACCATTGTGGGTAACAATTTGTAATGCAGTGGAGTGACATTTACTCACAGGCCTTAAACCTTAAATAATGTGTAAAGAGTTTACCCATAATTTATTTTATTATTCATTGTACCTGCTGGGAAATTATGATGGTTACAAAAAAATATGTAGTGGGAGTATTGTTGTGGGTTTATGTAAAAGTCTGTGGTGTTTCAGCATTATCATTTATTTTGTGTAGTTAAGTAAAGAACTGAACTCCCATGAACCTCTAGTGCGTACAGACACCAACTTACAGTGTCACAAGTGAATGTAAGTTTTGATATGACTTCTCCAGCAGTCCTTGTGAACAGTAGTCTTTTGTGCACCCCAGGGCCTTCAATTTGTATGCCCCTTATGTAAGGTTTCTGAAGAGCTAGCCAAACTTTGCTGATTTTGCTGCCACTGTCGCCTCACCGCTCACCGCCCTCTGCCGCCACCCTCTCCGCCGCCACCCTCTCCCCCCACCCCCCATTTGCTGTGGTTCCCTGTTCAAGATGCTTCGATTGGAGCCTGCTGGGTGGGGGTGCGGGGGAAGGACCGAGAGGTGGTCAATGTATCTCTTGGCAACTGGTTGAGTGGTCATTCCAGTCGTTATGCTTATGATCCCTGGCCTTTTATTATATAGGATTCCTGTGACTTCCTCAATTCCTTATCCCCCAACATGTAGATTTCATTTCCTTGTTCACTTTTGTGTACCCTTGCACCCTGTATAGTACATTCAGCCCTCAGTTACTTTAACTATCTTGTGCCTTGCAGTCCTTTTTTAAAAAATATATATTTTATTGATTTTTTACAGAGAGGAAGGGAGAGGGATAGAGAGTTAGAAACATCGATGAGATAGAAACATCGATTGGCTGCCTCTTGCACCCTCCCCCCCGCCCCCCCACCAGGGATGTGCCCGCAACCAATTCTTGACTGGAATCGAACCTGGGACCCTTAAGTCCTCAGGCCGACGCTCTATCCACTGAGCCAAACCGGTCAGGGCTGCTGTCCTTTTGAATGGTGAATTGTGTGACTCAAATGCATGTTCAAAGCCTGAAATTCAGTACCTGTACATGTGGGAATAGGGTCTTTTGAGATGTAATCAAGTTAAAATGAGGTCAGACTGGACTAGAATGAGACCTAACACAATATCTGGGGTTCCTCAAAGAAAAGGGAAGTTGGACCCACAGATACAAAGAACACCTTTGATGATGAAAGCAGATAGAGTGATGAACGTATAGGCCACAGAGAGCCAAAGGTGCTGACATCCACGGGGCAGAAGCAAGGGGTAAGACTTATCCCTCTAGACTTCTAGGTAGATAGAGCATGACACTGCCCACAATGTGATTTTAGACCTTTTGCTTCCAGGACTGTCAAAAATATTTTTCTACAGTCTTAAGCTCTGGGAAATTGGTGCAGATCCTCGCACTTTCTCTTCTCCTGCACTCTGGGACCCCTGGGACCCAGACTCTGCAGCTCCAGTTTATCCTTATGCCCTTTTTTCTATAGCCCTTTCCACTCTGCTGCTGCATTCAGCCACACACTGTCACTTGTCCACACACATTAAGTTTCCCACCATAGTCTTTGACCTAAAGTGGCAATGCTCACTGCACTTTCAAAATTCTGAACATTGGAAGGCATTTCCATGTGCATTGTTGGAGTGTAGGCTGGATCATGGATGAGGGAAATAGCCACCCTGTTAGGCACCCAGAGGACTGTAGTTACTACTATGTATCCATATATGAGCATGTTATTGAGATATGCTCACTCATGGGACCTGTTAATGTGATATTTTTATAAACCTGAGTACACCCATGTGAGCTTCTGTCATGGCATGTTTCATTATGAGTATGTATGAATGTGAGTATGAGTATGTGGTGTGTGCAAGAGTGTGAGTGCGTGATAGAGTATGAGTGAGGATGTGCATTTTTGCATTTTAATGTGTGGTGAATCTTTGTACAAGTGTGTTGGTGTGCTATGTATATTTGTTTATGTACAGAGCATGAGGTGTCTACTGGCTCATTTGTTCTTTCTTTCTGATAAAATGTCTTTCAAAATCTTGTGCTTTGGTACCATCTGGAACTTTTACTTTGTCAGATAGAAAGTTACACACTCCAATTCTATTCCATATTCCTTAGGTTGTTAGGACATACTCTTTTATGTAGCAAAACTTTGAACTTCTCTACTGTAAGTATTAAGAAATTTTAAATTATATAAGTTTCTGCATAATAAGTACATAACATTTAATTCACAGTCTTCGTAATTTTTTTTTAAATTACTGAAGCCAAAGTACATTGTGTCTTGGTCTCACTACTGAGCTATGATGTGGCTGCTTAAATTAGTGCTCAGGTTCCTGAGAGATGTGTGAATAAACACCTGAATGTTGTGAAAATCTAGGATTTACATTTTTGTGATAATTGCAGGGCATTTTTTATTGCTTAAAGTATTACAAAGGGTATTACATATGTCTCCTTTTTTCCCCCCGCCCTTGACAATCCCCTGGCCTCCCCTACCCCCCAGTGTCTTATGTCCATTGGTTATATGCATGCATACAAGTCCTTCGGTTGATCTCTTACCCCCCTCCCTCCTGCCCCCCTACCCTCCCCGGCCTTCCCGCTGCAGTTTGACAGTCTGTTTGGGGCAGCACTGCCTCTGTATCTATTTTTGTTCATAAGTTTATAATGGTCTTTATTATCCATGAATGAGTGAGATCATGTGGTATTTTTCCTTCATTGACTGGCTTATTTCACTTAGTATAATGCTCTCCAGTTCCATCCATGCCGTTGCAAATGGTAAGAGTTCCTTCTTTTTTACAGCAGCGTAGTATTCCATCATGTAGATGTACCATAGTTTTCTAATCCATTCATCTACTGATGGGCACTTAGGCTGTTTCCAGACCTTAGCTATGGTGAATTGTGCTGCTATGAACATATGGGTGCAAATATCCTTTCTGATTGGTGTTTCTGGTTTCTTGGGATATATTCCTAGAAGTGGGATCACAGGGTCAAATGGGAGTTCCATTTTTAGTTTTTTGAGGAAACTCCATACTGTCTTCCATAGTGGCTGCACCAGTCTGCATTCCCACCAGCAGTGCACAAGTGTTCCTTTTTCTCCACATCCTCTCCAGCACTTGTCG